AAATTCTTTTTTTTTTTTTTAATTCACTTGCCCTTGTGCATATCTCCTTCTAAAAGTGAAAAGGGTATTCTTGCTCATAGAAATCTGGAGATGCATTCAGGACAAAACTGATCCAATCACTTCTTAGTTAACAAGTTAAGTCCTGCTCACGCTGTTTATTTTCACCCACTGAAAAGCAAGCAGGGGTGGCTCTCAGGAGATGCTGACAAGTGCAAGTAATTTGTTTTGCCGAGCTACTGCTTCCCCCCTCTCTTTCCTCTATTTCATTTTGGAATTTAACCAGAGACTGCTCCTGGCTGACTCTCTATAACCTGTGTTGAAGGACAAAGCAACGTTGGGATCACCTGGTACTGCTGATAGTTTCACCTCTGGTTAGCTTCAGTGTCAGGGGAAAAAACTTGGGCACACAAGTGCCTGTTGAGTAGCTGAAATTAACTGAAACAACTTTCTCCTACAAACTTTTCTCTGCTTCAAAAGGAATCTTATAGTCATTGAGGAGAAGCAAAAAAAAAAGAAGACTTGAGCTAAAGACTCCTGCAGTGAGACATGCATCAATTAGCATCCACTCATCTATGGAATATATGAAACTATTCCTCTGCCTGACTGGAAAAGCAAAAGGGAAACTCAGTAGTGGCATATATTATGAGATTTCACACATCTGATTACGTTAAAATGAGCAATGGTCATTTGAACTCACTGGAGGAGGGGGGAATTACTCAATATTCAAATTTCTGTCAATATTAAACAGACTTGTTCTCAACACCGGGCACTAAAGCCACTTTCAAAAGGTTCAGTGGCATAACTGAACTTCACACATAACTTTTGAGCAAGACAGACCAATTGGCTACTTAACATTTTAAAATGCTTGTTTTAAATAAGAGTAATAAATAGAAATAAAGCGTTAAAACATGTTACGTTAGGGAAGTTGTCTTACATTTTCTCAACGTGCCACTATGACTTGTCTCTTGACTAATGGGGAATTGCAAGATGCTTCTTCTTTTCAGCAGAAAAAACAGAATATAGATACAAAACATGGCTTTCTAAAATACTTAATTTTAAGCCTACTCAATTAGATACTATGGTAAACTCTGAGTTTGCTTCCCCTATGGCTGTTCTCTTAGGGTGACACTACAATAAACTTCCACTTCTGAACACTAAAAAAAACCAAACCAAAAAAGCCCTCACTCCTAAAGTATCCTTTATATATATATTTTTTAAAAAGGTGTACAGATTAATGACACTGGCTTTGAGTAAAAAATTCTGCACTGACAAATATTTTCATATTCTACAATAACCATTGTTCTTACTTATGATAACAAATATTTTTGTTTTGGATGAGCTTATACTTAGTCAATTCAGTTTTCCTGGAATGGATGCACTTCCTTAGAGTGAAACAGGTCTGTGTGCTACTACCAAATAACATCATAAATGAGCCTGCCCAGCTGACATGCAAGGTACCCTTTATCTGTGTAAGATACATGTATAAAAACATTTGCTTACAAGCAGACTGTTATTTTGACCATTAAAAGTATAATAAATCACTATATATAAGAAGTACTTCATTCCTCATTTCACTTACTTTAAAAGAAAACTGAACGGCAGATTCTGGAGGGTAAACTATGAAGTGTCTTAAGGTGAAGCCAAAACCCTGAGATGTCCTCCTTAACACGACAGTTTTTGGACCAGGCCAACAGAAAGCTTCTTCTTCTTCTGATGGTGATACAGCCTCACTCCGCTCTTTTCCATCTTTATTTTTTGAAGCCTAAAATAAAAGAGAAAAAGAGACTAGACAGAAATTGTAATTTGGTTTTTTTTTAAAATATTGCTATGCACTGAAGAAAAAATATATAACTTCTCTTCCCCCAAAGAACTATGAAATAATTTTACAATTATCAATATTTTATCAATGTGTATTATAAAGCAGCACTCCCTACAGTGTTACACCTCTGGCCATATCACGTACAGAATTACTCTTAAATTTTAAGTGAAGCTACATACTAAGGAACCTAATATACAATAGTTAAAGGTTGGAACGAACCTCAGAAAAACAAGTATAGTTCGTAAATTTTATTCGCTTCCAAAGTTTATTTAGATACAAGCATAAGGATACTTTCTTTGGGTCTTTGGGGATTCATTTCTGGACATACAGAGTTCGCAACTACATAAAGGTACCTAACCAATTTCTCTTCTCTTGAATTAAAATTCAAATATGGTTCTGTGAACTATTATCTTCTCTTCTTAAAACAATTGAAGAGAACTGAAGAGCATATGCAATTGGTTCAGCCTCTTCAGCCTACATATTTATTCTCTAGTCATCTCTTCTATAGGCTTCATCTATATTTTTTCATCCCTAGAGAGCTACTTCCTCTGAACATTCAGTATGCCAACTCTAAATACATGAGTACAAAAGTCTATTTTCCTTGGACATTTATACTACAATCCCACCTCTCATGAAGAAGTAAGAACAATTACATTTTAGCTATTTTTAGAGGTAATTTTATATACGTATGGCTCAAGAAATATGTTGTTATGAAAATATTTATCTCCTAAGCCTTAAAGGTAATCTTTAATTTCAATGTCCAATGTGAATGCCTTATCATATACAACATTTCAAGTCAAAGGCAGCAGTTACACAAAGAAAGTATGCAAAAACTGTATGACTTGTATGAAATCAAGGATGCATGAAACAAATTTAGATACCAGAGTCTATAGCCTATTCAAAGGGTATTCAGACAGAATTAATAGAAATCTTATCCTTCTGTAGCCGAGCTCGATATACAGACATCCTAAACTTCACTAGGTCTGAGGAGTGGGAGATGCAGCACTTCACTTAAGCAAGAAAAGAACCTCTGATTTCCTTGTAATTTCATGTAAACTTTTGGCACTTATGAAAGATGCTGAACTAACAGCTATTTATAAAAATAGTTCTTCACAGTCAAATCATTATTTCCTGAGAGGGAATGCCAGAAGTGAAAGGTTATCTCCATTCTGTCCTTGGACCCCCTGCAAGGTCTACCAACAATACAACAGAAAAGGCCAATATTAATAATAAATGCAAAACATGTTCAGAAACAGCAACCTTCAGCCACCGTATGAACAAGAATTTGAATTATAAAGAAAACAGAGTTGACAGCTGTTGAGTCACCCTGTGAAATGTCCCACCACAGTACACCCACCAGAAATATCCCTTTTCAGAGGAGGCTTTAAAAAGGAAAAAGAAAAGTTTCCAAAACCACAAACAAAACAAGGATGCAAGACAGCAAGCAAGGATCAGACGACGTTGATTAACACAGGCAAGAATGTCTTACTGAAGGCAGAGTTCCTATATGGTTTTACTTTTGAGCCCAACAAAACTGATAGTCATGAAGTTATGAGCACAAATATCTCATCTGCTAGAGGTGATTTGTCTTTAGAGAAGATTTATTTGCATTTCAAGAGAATGAAAAATATATTTTATATAATGGATGCTTTATTTTGATTTCACATAAAGTCTAACAAATTAAAGATTATTTTGTGATATTCCTTACTAAAGGTCTGAATTTTTGATTCAATAAAACACTGAATATCTCTATAGATTCAGTACTCAAAATGCATAAAATCAAGTTCAACGAGTGAAGAATCCAAGGCTACTAAAAAAAAGTTTCAAGCAACATTCCCCTCAGGATTCCTTCATATGAGGTTTCTTCACAAAGTATCTCCAAACATTGTTTTCTGTTACATGTAATCACAATGACATACAACAGATGTTTAAGTGCATTGTAAAATATGTACTTTGCTTTCACTATTGTATTTAACCCTCTTTTCTGAGCCATGAAAACATCCATGAATAAATAGCTGGCACCTTCAAGATCCACATGAATCACTGGGAGCTTAGCACACTGTCGAAGAGAATTAAGTAAAATCTGCAAATACTGTTGAGGCCTGTAAATGATAACATTTCAAGAGTATAAATCTCAAAAAAAAAAACAGTAATTTTCCATTATATTAGTCTTAAAAAAAGTAAAAAATAGAAAAAAAAATCACAAATAAATTAAGAAAAGTGTCATTGTAAGTGTGGCCCATAGTACATTTTGTGAAGCCTAAAACTATATTTAAAACAGAACAGACAAAACAAAAAGATAGACCAGTGCACTCATCTATCAATACCTGTGCTATAATAAGCACAGGCTGTCTCAATAAGCAGCATCTACTTCAAACACATTTAGTATGTTCAACTTCCAGCTAGTCTAGCAAGAAATAGGATACCTGAAATAGCAGTTCTGCTGGATGGACAGATGCCCACCAGAAAATTGGTTGATGTCACCACATTTTACTGATTCAACAGCCATCAAATAATATTTTTTTTAGTTACTACTGACATAAGCTAGAGCCAAATAGGATTTTACACATAGTTTTTAATCCCTAAGATCACCCTGAGACTCCAATAGTACATTCCAAATGCTGTAATAAATACTGGACTTGCTTAAAACCAGTGATATTTCTTGTATCAGGTCATTTATTTTTCCTATTTTTTGTAACCAAGTATCCATCACTTGGCTAACTGCCCTATTAAACTTGCAATTTCAAAGAGAAAACATTGTTCCACTAGAAAGAGTTTGATCTTATTTTATGTGGCAAAAAGCAAGATTCTTTAGAAAGGAAAGAGGGAAATAAAAATGTCATTTCTGGCTAAGGCTACAGAAGGGGAGAAAAAAATCTGCCTATACTGGCGAGAAAATCTAGTTATTCACAGAGCAGCGGCAGGTTTCACTACAAGTAAGGGTTGCTTCTTTAAATAATCAGATTTTCCCACTGATGATTTTCAAACGAAATTATAACAAGATACTGACCCTTTCAGATTCAACCACGCAGAGAATTTGAAATCACTCTGCCAGAAGCTAACAGCCAAATGAAGTAATAATAATTTTCTCTCTCAAAAATGAATTCTACTTTGTGGTACACCCATCTGATTAGGAAATGACTGAGGGTGGGGAGGAGAAGGCCAAAAAAAAAAAAAAAAGGCATCACGCCTAGAGGACCACCTGTGCCCCAACCCGTATCTTTTTCTTCTGTGGTCACAGACCTGGACTCCTGCACACAAGTGACTCAGGCAGAGTAACAGCTCAATCCATTGGAGAACAGAGGTTTCCTCAGTCCTGGGAGACATGATGAATAATGAGGAAAATGTACTGTATGATAAAAACAATATGATAAAAAACAAACACTCCCACCTCAAATGCTCTTGTATGATCTTAAAACTTGTAATGCTTCCCCTAAGAATCATCTGAGAAAGCCTTTTGACACAAAGAAAGAAAAGGTTATATAATACCCTTTTCTTTAAAATACATTATTGCCATCCTCATCTGCCATACGGGTATATCCAGCACCCAAACATAAGCTCACACAATGTTTTATCTTAGTACTACCTCAAAAATGGGATCACGCTCACAAGGAGAAGAATGAGTCGTTTCCTTTCAGTTTTCCTCAAGCTCATAAGTGGAGGGGTTCAAGGGAGACAGGTTACATTTGTAAAGACCACAAATCCGGAGAAGAAAACTTACAGGCAAGAAATTTTCTTCTTCTTATGATTATTTTAATATACGTTTACAGTATTGGTCTATTCAAGCAGTACTCCATTAAACCTGTCACTAACCCAGAGAAAAGTCTCATACTATCTAGCTGAAGAAAGACAGAGCTGCTGGGAAAGTGCTGAACACACAGGCTGAAAGCTCTCACTGCTCTTCATGCAAAGTCACAAGTGCTATACTGTCTGACTGCTGAAACGAGCACTGCAAATGAAGAGTATGACTAAGCTAAGACCGAATACACCAAACCGTGCTCAGGTACTTAAACGCTCTCAGCCCACGGTGAGATATTTCTAGTGTCTTTAAATCCAACTGGAATGAAAAAGGAGCATCTTATAGATATGTAAATCATTCCCAGTTGAAGAAAAGTAATTACTGACATGAAGCTGATACATCTGGCACATTCATCCTCCACCTCTCCAGGACATAGCTTTATCCTTGGAAAAAAGAAACGAGATCAGTCACTTTCAGCTTCATTAACATGCTCATCTCTTCTTGAAAGAAACCTGTAAAGGGATCAGAAGGAAAACTGGAATGCAGCAAACACAAGACCTACATAATACTGTTATTTTCAGCTGCTGTATCAAATACCCGCTTGTCTCAACTTATGATCTCCATGCTAGAAAAATCCTATCATTTTCCCCTAAATAGGTAAGGAGGGATGTTGGAAAGGATAAAAATGAAGGCAGGAGATATAACTTGGCAGTGCATGTACTGACAGTGTCCTTCCCCCAAAGGAGTCTTCCACTGTTTTCTGTCCTCTCATTGTAGCTATAGAAGGCATAACCATTAATATCTCCAAAACCACAGTGACGGTCAGAAATACAGTCTGTCAAATTAGTGAGGTATAGGGAAACCCACAAAAATCCTGGATGCCCACTCCTGGATGCTAGTTGACACTGTACCAAAGGCATCTAAAGTTTGCAAAAGAATCTCAGAAAAACAGCAATTAAATATTTAACAGCTATACATTCTACAGACGGGGTAAGAAACTTTTAAGTTAGAGCCCAAAGACATCTGTAGGAGTACGTGCATAATACTAATTATTCAAAGAAGTTGCTCCCTTCTTCACTAACACCAAAACTAGCCTGTGTAGTTTATTAATGAAGAATCCCAAGTACTTCAGTACTTTTGAGTGTTAAATTGGAGTGTTCATCATTATCAGAAGTTTTAAGGATTGCCATCTTTCTGAAAACAC